GGGAATAATAAATAGCAGAAAGGCTGGGGAGTGGGTCAGGAGGAACTGAGGCTGGGAGCCCAGGCCTGAGGTAACTCAGGGCCAGCCCCAGAGGGGAGACCTTGGCCTTGTGTAGACCTGCTGCTCAGCCCTGTCCCGGGGGCAGCTGGCAAAAGGCTTGAGCCTGGCCATCCCAGGCAGTCTGCTGGCACCATCTCATGGCCGGAGGCCCTCGGTGCAGGAAAGACAATCCTGGGAATTTCCCAGCCCGAACTTCTAAGCATGGACTTCAGGGAAACCTTGGATAAGGGGTCTGTATTGAAATGTCCCCTAGCTGGGACACATTGGGGAACTCACTGAAATTTCCTGAGTCTTACTTCCTTCATCTATAGAACGGAGAGAACACTGTTCCCCACCACCCGCCCGCACTGCAGATAAACCATCCCACAGAGGGTAGGCTGTTAAGAAAGGACACGGTTGGGGGGGGGGGGGGCGCCTGGGTGGCTCAGTGGGTTAAAGCCTCTGCCTTCAGCTCAGATCATGATCCCAGGGTCCTGGGATCGAGCCCCACATTGGGCTCTCTGCTCAATGGGGCACCTACTTCCTCCTCTCTCTGCCTGCTTCTCTACCTACTTGTGATCTCTGTCAAATAAATACATAAATACATAAATAAATAAGAAAGAAAGGACACAGGGTCCATAGGACCCAGAAGTGAGTGTGGACTGCTGTGCATGGAGGGAGTCCAAAGTGGGGGCCTTTAAGTGGGGCCCGGAATGCATTCATTCCGTTAACAAGAGTGTGTGGAGTCTGTGCCATGTGCTGGGACACTTCCCCTGTGCGGTTCCTTTTATGTCTTACCACAGCTTAGATGGCAGGTACCACTAGTCATTCTCATTGAAAATGAGATATGAGAACTACAGAAGGATAAGCAGGGATTATTTGGAGAAGGTGGGGGGAAAGCATCCCAGGCAGAGGAAACAGCATGCACATTCGCCTGGGGGCCGGAAAGCCTGGTAGGGAAGGGCTGAAACTGGACTCGGAAGCCCTCGAAGGCCTGGGAGCATGGCCAGACCCCTCAGGCCTCCCGCCGGGCCCCTCTTCAGATGACGCATCCCATGCTATGCTGTTGTTCATTTCTCACATGAGGTCGGCTCCTTCCCCACCTGAGAACATCATGCCCTCTTCACTCTTCATTCGTCCAAACTTTCCTGGCCCTTTAAGGCCCAGCCACAGATGTGCCTTCTCCAGGATCCATTCTGGGTCACTCTGTCCTAGGGGTACCCATAACCCCCATGATCTGAGCTCTCCTCTCTGGGCCCCACCCAGATAGCAAGAACTCAGACTCAAGCCCCGCCCTGAGGCTGACACCCCCAGGAAGCCCACAGAACTGCTCCCATTCTTGGGACAGACACTATGATAGGGGTGACCACTGGAGATTGTCCTGGGAACCCAGCAAAGAACTGGTTGCTGGGCTGAAGGCCAGGTCTCCTTGCCCTCAGGGGCTCCAGCACCACTAAAATCAGAACAGGAGACCCACACTTGGATCTGGCACAAGCAATCTCCTAGCACAGACCTGAATAAACAGTAGGTGCTCAATTCTTGCACAGCTGACCAAGTGTTTGCTGGCAGTCCAAATCTGAATTTTCTCAGTTTGACCCAGACTTTTGTCCCTGACTTGGTTCCCTAATCCCCTTGCTGGTAAAGTGGGTTTGGGTGGGAGGTCAGTGCTTACACCTTCCAGGGTAGAAAGGGTCCTCCCTCACTCTGGCCTCTCATCCTCACAACATGCTGGTGGCCGGTATGACCACATTCCACTAAGGCTCAGAAAGGGGAAGGGGCTTGTAAATAGGGACCAAAGTAGAACAAGAACCTGGGCCTCAGATGCCCAGGGACGTGTTCCTTCCCTGCGCTATGCTGTCCCCCCTCCCCTAGCTGCCTCAGCTGCTCCCAATCAAAGCCTCCTTCCTCCAGGTCACCCCTCTCAAATGCTGCTCTACTACCGGAGCTAGCCTCCTGGGGATAATGAGAAGCCACCTCACTTCCCCTGGCCGTCCTAACAGCTGTGAGTCTTGGTTTGGGAGCGAGGAGGGGTTGGAAGAGAGCTTGGCACTGGCAGGAAGACTCTCACTCAGGTGAGTTTTCTGGAGGTATCTATCCCCACAACACACACCTATCCCTCCCAGGGGCCCCAGACCTGCCATGTGGAAGGAGAGAGTGAGTGCTAAGTGGAGGTATATAGGAGGATTGAAGGGTATACAATAGAAGTTCAATAAATGGTTTTGGAGAAAAGGAAGAGAGGGAAGGGGGGAGGGAGAAGGTGAGCAAATAAGTGAATGTCTAAGTGGATTGCCAGGTGGAGGGATGGACATGTTCGTGAATGAGCTATTGAATGAATGGAGAAAGGAGGGATGGCTAGGGAGTGAGTGCCTGGAAGGTGACTCTGGGTGTTACAGCTAAAGGGGGAGCCAAAAGCTCTTTTATCACCAACGTGCCCATTTGACAGATGAGAAGACTGACAGAGGGCTGAGGAGAAAGGAAGCTGCTGGGTCTGTAGGGGTAGCCTTTGACCAGCAGCCTCTGGTTCTCTTCCCACCTCTCTTTCTACCCTCACATCACCTTCTTTCCTCTGCTGGGGTGGGGAGGGTTCCAGGAAGGAGACATTTTCTCCGCCTCCTTGCTCCTCTAGGCCCAGTTTCCGCCAGGCCTCAGTGTTGGGGGGTGGCAGGGAGGGGGTGGCCCCCGCAGGGGCTATTTCAGTCAGAGACAGCCCTGCCAGGAAACAGAGGAAGCCGCCCGCCCCATCGGAGGTGTTTCAGCCTGGGCTCAGGACAGGAGAGTGGAGAGCCTCACATCTGGCTTTCCCTTGTGCCAACGCATTCAAGGCCACCAAGGTGCTTCGGGGACAGGAGGCTGCATGTGAGTGTTGGTGCATCCTGGCAGCGGGGGCCAGTATGAGGCGGGCATGGGAGCTGGACCCAAGGAACTGTGACTTTGGGTGGGCAGGCAGGCTGGGCCCCGCACTGACCTAAAGGAGGCCCACAGTGTTGGGGGGTGGGGGCAGAAGAAGCAACTCCACTCAGCCGGAGGCCCAGAAAGGAGGAAGCAAGATCAGATCTGGAGCTGGATGGACACTTAGTGTTTTGATAGGCATGGGATAAATGGCACTTCGTGTGCCAAGATGGGGAGGCCAGAGGGGAAGTCTGGATCTCTGGCTTTGAACGGTCTTGTGGCAGAGGTGGTGTCTCAGGGACAGTGCAACAGGACAGGAGGGGACAGAGGGGTGCAGCCAGGGGGGCCTTGGATGAGGCTGGAGGGCTAGGCAGCAAGCTGCGATGTCAGGAGTTTGAGCTTTCCCTCAAAGGGCAGAGGGATGCAGGGAAGGATGTCATCTATCAGAGCAACTTGCTAGAAAGCCCCTGACCGTAGTCAGAGTGGCCGGAGCCCAGGAGGACATTGGGGCCTGAGATGGCCCAGGGCTCAGGGCTCAAGAATGAGTGACAGCCGTGAGAGATCGAGCAGCCCGTGTTAGCTGCTGCTGGGAGGCAGGGGCCAAGGGAGACCTCCCTCAGAACCATCCCCTACCCCGCCTAGTGCAGCCTCTGACTCCTTCCAAGAGGACTAGTCTTACCAGGGGGTGGAGAGCGGAAAATATCTGGAGCCTGGGTGCCTGGGTGGCTCAGTGGTTAAAGCCTCTGCTTTTGGCTCAGGTCGTGATCCCAGGGTCCTGGAATCAAGACCCACATGGGGCTCTCTGCTCGGCGGGGAGCTTGCTTCCTCCTCTCTCTCTCTCTGCCTGCCTCTCTGCCTACTTGTGATCCCTGTCTGTCAAATAAATAAATAAAATCTTAAAAAAAAAATATCTGGAGCCTCCCATCACCTGAAGCAGAGGTCTCTTTCCTGGGGTGGCATCCGAGGACAACAAGCCTCCCAAAAATGTTCAGAGGCACAGAGCTGCTCCTTCTACCAGCTTCTTCCTTCTTACCATGACGGTCAGCCCTAGTAGGCAGCTCTCCTCTCAAGGCCTGCCTCTTCTCCGCACCCCCAGACCTGAGGACACCCCTCCCCACCCAGGGATCTCCTCCTCAACCTCCCGGGTCATGTTCCACCCTTTCTCCTCCTCTGAAAAGTCTCTTCCGTCCTATGGCTCACATGGGTCCCCCTCTTCAGACTAGCAGATGTGTATGTATAATTTTTATATCTCTATCTACATCTGCATCTGTATACTGTACCTGCATGTGCCCAGCAGGTAATAAGTGTTCATTTAAATGCCTGACAGGTGAAAACAGAAGAATGAATGCATAAATGAAAGAAAGGCCCAGACAAATGAATGAGGTGATGAGGAAATGAACTTTCTCTGCCTGTACTAATCTTGGCTTCTTGGTTACAATGGGGGACTGGCCATGCTTCTGCCTCTGCACCCCCCCCACCTCCTAACAGGCTAGCTGGGCACCCAGCATTCCTAGCACCTGGGCTGAAACCCCACAAAGGGTTTTTCGTAATTTAAGGTAATATGGCCTGTGGGACTATAAACTAGAAACTCGTTGAACCTCATTTTGCAGTTTCCCAGAATGTGGGAAAAATATTTCATCAAAATCAAATTGAAAGTTGAAAGAAATCAGTTTGGGTAGTTAGGTTTTGCTCTAACATAACTTTGAAAAATATCATAACTTGACTTAGCAGGGTGTATTCACATTAAGAATAGCCAACACCTGCCCTGTGCCAGGCACTGATCTTTATAACAAGCCTAGGAAGCAGGTACTATATGAGCCCATTTTACAGATGGGGAAACCAAGGCATGGAAGTCCAATAATGAGCCTTAAGGCCCCACAGTTCACATGTAGCAGAGCTGGGATTTGAACCTGGGCATCTGGACCAGAGCCCACGTATTTGGCCTCAACCCTCTATCCTGTTCTGTGTGCATTTGCAGGATTTCATATTTTTTCCTTTGCTTGAGTTTTTCCCATCTATTAATAGGGAGGGGGGTGATCTGACCCACTATCTCAAAGGGTTTTTTCTTACAGGTCCATTGGATTTAAGTTGTGAATTCTCGCTGGACACCAGGAAATGTGGACATGCTGGTTGGGAGGTAGGTATCAAGAAGTCAGACATACCTCACCATGGAACCCCCTTAAGGCACCTGTGCTTCTGACTCCCCCAAAACCTAGCCTGAGGGAAGAATGTAGGGATGAGGTGTAGGATACAGCAGCACAGCATAGCGTTTATTAAGCACCTATTATATACCAGGCCTATGATTTGTTTTACCGATAAGAACAGAGATTTAGAAAAGTCAAGTTTGACATGTCTTGGGTTGAACAGCATAGAAGTAAGGGAGCCAGGATTTGAATGAGGTTTGCCTAGCTCTGACATTTGGTTTATAGCCTCTACATTCCATGACCCTGGGCTACACTAAGTTGCAGCCTCTCAGTCAGGAGGGCAGTCTATGGTTCTGGCTCTGCTTCTAACTCACGGAGTAAGACTGAGCCACCACAGCCTCTGGCTGTGCTGTATTTTCCTCTCTATAAAAAGCAAGCAGGAGGGGCACTTGGCTGCCTCTGTCACACAACTCTTGGTCTTCGGGTTGTGAGTTTGAGCCCCACCTGGGGTATAGAGATTACTTAAAAATTAAAGTCTTAGAAAAACAAAACAAAACAAAACTCAACTCAACTCAACTCAACTAAACAAAACAAAACCCTGAAAAACAAAAAAACAAGGAAGCAGATTCGGCTGGTGTCCAGCCATTTGCCTTCAGGAACGCTGTTCTCACTGTAGCCACCAGAGGGTGCTGTGACCCAGTGGCTCGGCCAGACCGGCATTTGTAGCCTGAAGTCAAGTGGAAGGAGCTTAGGGGACTCCTGAATCACTTTCTTCCTCCATTTTACAGATAAGAAGACTGCAGCCAAAAGAAGGACCATGGCTTTGGAAGGTGGAGTCCAGGCTGAGGAGGTGGGCGCTGTCCTTTGTCAGCCCACAGCGTATGGACGTTCTGTTCCTGTTGATTAATTCAGAATTACCAGGGCCTTCTCTGCCCTGGACCCAGACCACGCTCTCAGACACAGAGGAGCATCAGACCTGGCACCTCTCTTCAGGAGGTTCCAGTCAGTGCTGGAGAGACAGACAGGAAGGCTCACCATGACCATAATCTCCAAACTCCAAAAAGCCCAGGGAAGCCCTGCATAGTTTGATTTAGTACCTCTAATCTCATATCATTCTGAAAGATGGGTGTATCTTTCTGCCATTTTTCAGATAGGAAAATTCAGACTCAGATAAGGTATATCACTAGCCCAAGGTCACATAGCTAGTAGGTAGCACAGGTGGGACAGAAACTAAAGTCTGTCTGGGGTACCTGGCTGGCTTCGCCACCAGAGCATGCATCTCTTGATCTTGGGGTCATGAGTTTGAGCCCCATGTTGGGTGTAGAGATTACTTAAATAAATAAAACTTTTTAAAAAAAGATTTAAAACAAACAAAAAAACAAAAACAAACTAAAGTCTGTCAGTCTCCACTTCCAGAGGAGACATTTGACTAGGGTTTTGAAGGATGAATAGAAGTTCACCAGGAAGGTTGGTGGGAAATGAATATTGTAGAAAGTGAACCAGATTTTTCCCAAGCTTGAGCTTTATTGTATTCTAGGTTTCCTTAAAGTGAGGACTATGTAGGGCCTCCATGGGGTGGTGAGTATCAGAGATGGTTCAAGTGGAGATAAGGGCCCAGAGAGGGACAGGGGCCTACTAGATGGTCACTGAGGATGGTTACTGACAGGTTGTGTGTTGCTTCCCCAGCCTCTCTGGATGTAGGAAGCGCAGTCGGGCAGCCATGGAGTGGGACAATGGTACAGGCCAGGCCCTGGGCTCCTCGCCCACCACCTGTGTCTACCAAGAGAACTTCAAGAGACTGCTCCTGCCACCCGTGTACTCAGTGGTGCTGGCAGCTGGCCTGCCCCTGAACGCCTGTGTCATTGCCCAGATCTGCACCTCCCGCCGGGCCCTGACCCGCACAGCCGTGTACACCCTGAACTTGGCCCTGGCTGACCTGCTCTATGCCTGCTCCCTGCCCCTGCTCATCTACAACTACGCCCAGGGGGACCACTGGCCCTTTGGCGACCTCGCCTGTCGCCTGGTCCGCTTCCTCTTTTATGCCAACCTCCATGGCAGCATACTCTTCCTCACCTGCATCAGTTTCCAGCGCTACCTGGGCATCTGCTACCCGCTGGCCCCCTGGCACAAGCGTGGGGGCCGCCGCATGGCCTGGCTGGTGTGCGGGGCCGTGTGGCTGGCCGTGACAACCCAGTGCCTGCCCACAGCCCTCTTCGCCGCCACCGGCATCCAGCGTAACCGCACCGTCTGCTACGACTTGAGCCCACCGGCCCTGGCCGCCCGCTATATGCCCTATGGCATGGCCCTCACCGTCATCGGCTTCCTGCTGCCCTTCATCGCCCTGCTGGCCTGCTACTGCTGCCTGGCCCGCCGTCTGTGCCGCCAGGACGGACCAGTGGGGCCAGTGGCCCGGGAACGGCGCGGCAAGGCGGCCCGCATGGCCCTGGTGGTGGCAGCTGCCTTTGCCATTAGCTTCCTGCCCTTCCACATCACCAAGACCGCCTACCTGGCAGTGCGCTCCACAGCCGGTGTCCCCTGCCCGGTGCTGGAGACCTTTGCCGCCGCCTACAAGGGCACGCGGCCCTTTGCCAGCGCCAACAGCGTGCTGGACCCCATCCTCTTCTACTTCACTCAGAAGAAGTTCCGCCGGCGGCCACAGGAGCTGCTCCAGAAACTCACAGCCACGTGGCAGCGACAGGGTCACTGAGTCCGCTGGGACAGGACACCTGGGGCCTGGGCACCAGAAGCCCCTCCAACCCCAAACCAGGCAGAGAATTAGAGCTTAGCTCAGCTGGGCATGGAGTGAGGTCCCCCACAGACTCCAGAATCTCACCAATGACTATTCCTTGAGCCCATGCTCTGGACCTGTGGGCACAGAGAGACAGGCTTGAACCTGGCCTTCCAGAAGGTGCCAGTCAGCCCCCCGGGGAGTCAGGGAAGCTGCCAGAAGCTGTTCGCAAAAATACGGCATAACACGTACTGTAATTGAGGAGTGTGCTGGATGCTTTGGAGTCAGCAGTATAGGGACTGAGGGAAGATTGGAGGAGGAGGTAAGAAGCTCTGGAAAGGAGTGTTCTAGCTGGACTTTGATGGGTTGAGTATGAGCTCTCTGGAGGTGTGTGATGGTCCCTTCATTCAGCGCACCTTTACCTACACCTTGTCCTTGGGCCTGGCTTGATTCGGGGGCACTGGGAGAACAAGTCCTAGCCCTGCCCCATATAGGCTCCCAACTACTGGGCTTACAGACACTTAACACAATGATGTCAAGGCTGGGACAGATAAATAGAGAATGCCCATGATCCAGTCCAAGGAGACAGGAAAGATCTCTTGGGATGGGATGGCGGGGGGGGGGGGGGGGGGGGCGGAAAAGGGGGGGGGGGGGGGGGGGGGGGGGGGGGGGGGCATCTGAACCAGATGTTGAAGACTGAGTAGGAGGTCAGCCAATAGACGTGGGAGCATGTTCCCACAGGTCTAGGCTAGACTCTGCCCTGGGGTAGAGGGGTAGAGAGAGCTGGGGTGGGGGGCAGGCATATGGCCTCCTGTGTGTGAAAGCTGGGGAAATGAGAGCTGTCCCTTGGCCACCTTCCAGATAAGGGCAAGCGTGGCCTCGAATGTTTCAGCCTGTGGGGACTCAGCAGAGGAAGGAATCAGAGCACGTCTTCAGAGAGGTGGAGCTTGAGCTGGGGAGGAATCCAAAATGTAGAGAGAGGCAGGCTGCTCCTGATGGAAGGCACTGTGTGTCTATAAAACCCCAGAGGTGGAGATGTGCTGAATCTGGCCCTGAACAGTGAGTTTCCGTTAAGCCAGGAGGGGGCGGTGTGGGCAGAACCAGAGCACTGAATGCCAGGAAGAGCCCCAGACTCTACCTCTTCTCCACCTACCTCTTCAAATGTGCCTCTTTCAGCCTCAGGGGAGCCTGGGTGCCTGAGAACCCCTCCACCAGGCCTCCCAAGTAAGAGGAAATACCCCTTCAACAGTGCTTCATTCTAGAAGAAGTCAACAGCCTGAAGAGGTGCAGGGCCACCAGGAGGCTGCAACATGGAGGTGCAGAGGTCCTGTGGCCAGGAGCCTGCCAACCAGTCTCAAGATAGCCTGTTCCATGTGTTCTGCTCCTGCCCTTCCAGCTCCATCATTCTGGCCTGTGGGTGCCTGAGAGCCGCTGGAGGCCATCTCATGGAGGCATCTCAAACACACCTGAGCCTTCGAAAGCTTTGGAAAGGCATCTTCACTGAAGATCTCTGAGAGGTTCCACCACATAAGAACTCTTTACCTGCCCTTCCCACCCACGCCTCCTTTTAGCCCCACCCATAGAGCTCCTTATTTTCTCTGCTCCTTTTCCTCTCTATCTCCACCACCCTGCCCACCCCATGCCCCGCTTCACTTCTCCTCAGGTCCCTGTTCCCTCCTCCCAGAGCTCAGCTTTCCTCCTGTAGAACAATCTAGCCTGCCCTTGGCTGCTGGTATACCACTCAGACCCTGTACACAAACCAGCCGTGACCAAGAGCCTCCCTTCTCAGAAAGTGGAGGGGTGAGGGCAGGGCAGAGGGACAGGGCAGGGAAGGGAAGGACTGCGTAACTTAGTATTTTTCTTTTAGCCCTCTCATCTCCAGGGCTGTTGGGTAATGGGGCCCTTCAGAGAAGGACTCTGCCGGAGTTAAACTCCATAGTCATGCTGGAGACGTGCTTGCAGCTGGCTGAGGAAGGGGGAAAACCAGGCCCAGCCCATCTTGGAAATCCATCAAAAGTGCCCCGATAATTTGGACAGAAGGAACTCTTTGGGTTACAGCGGAAAGACGTGAGGCAATGTCAGAAGAGGTCTGTTCCCTCTACAATGCAATGTCATGCCAAGCACTATAGATCCTAACTACTTTGCATCTTGTTCCGAGTCAGCTGCCAGTCCCGGGGAAGTAGGGGAATGGGCGACCAGAAGGCAGAGGACCTCTGCCCACAGTGCCGGCTGAGCCCTGTGGGGACTCCCAGGTGACCGTGCAGCAGACTGCCAAGAACTGTGACGCTCTGGTTACTTTTCCAAGAGTGGAAATGGTGGGCCGCAGGTGAATCCCTTTCCCAGCTTCCCTTTGAGAGCCAGAATCGCATAAAGGGTAGGGATTCCAGAGCCAGGTCCCCTTGGTGTTTATCTTGGCCAGACCGCTCAGCAGCTGTCTTACTCTGTGCGAGTTCTTTAGCCTCCTTGTGCCTTAACTTCCCTAGCTGTAAAATGGAAACAGTAACGATATCTATCTTGTAAAATGGTTGTGAAGGTTAATATGTGCAAAGCACTTAGAATAATATCTGGAACAGAATAAGCGTGCAATGCCGGGTACTATTATAATGAACTTGCCTATTGTACGCACAAGTTCCTTCAGCATCTCTCTCTAGGAACTGGCCTAGGAGGTTTCTAAACAAGAGGCTAAGAGCAGAGGATTTCTCCTTGCCTTCACCTGGAAGGCAGCTGGTCTTCTAAGGAAAAAACTCAGCACACTTTTGTCAGAACAAGGGCCATAATCCATGAGCCCCATCTGTTCCTGCAAGAAGGAAAAGTCATTTATTACATGAGAGTACAAGAAATTCCAGGTGCCATTCGGGGAGCCTGAATTGCCCCCTTCCTTTTCCCTCCTTTTGTCCCCACACCCCTACTCTCTTCACTTTAACCCAGAGCACACTCCGTGATGGGGGCTCACACTGGAGAGGTCTGCTTGCTGGGGTGGAGGGGACAGAGACAAGGTGTGGGGATAGAGCATGGTGAGGGGTCTGGGGAGCACATGCGTTCACAGGGGTCCAGGGTGATTCTCAGGGCTTGGGGAAGACTTCCTGGGGGGTAGAGTTGGGCCACTGGGGCTTGAAGGATGGCTGTAATTAGACTGAAGACGAGAGGGCCAGGTTGTTCCTGGGGCAGGGAACGGCACAGCCCAAGGCATGGAGGCTGTTGGAGGATGGTTAGGAAGGGTTGTGGCATGAGATTGGGCTTAACAGCTGTCATGGCTAAAGAGTCAAAAGCTTGGTGCCAGCCCAGGGAAGCACCGGGAAGTCACAACAATGACAGCAGTGGCCATTCGCTGGGCTCTGCAAGTTCTAGGCACTGTGCAGTGTGCTGTATACACATTTTCTCGTTTAATCCTTACATTACCTCCAATTACAGATGGGGAAACTGAGGCCCAGTTGTGGGAATCAACATGTCAAGGTCACACAGTCTTTTTCTAAACCAGATACTAGGATGCCCCCCTCCAGCTCTTCCATACTCCCTCCCTTCCCTTTCCTTTCTTCAGTTGCCTTCCAAGTGTCCACCTGCCTCAGCCAGTCCTAGTAACGGGACCGCCTAGGAAATTGTGACAGAGATACCTAAGTGCCCACCGCAACTCTCTTTTAATTGGGCACCTGTCCTCCTAGGATGAAAACTTCATTTCCCATCCTTACCTGTAGCTAAGTATGACCAGGTACCTTAATCCTGGGCAATTGGAGATAAGCAAAGTACCTTAAGGCAATTTAATATGGGGAGGGGGTGAATGTCTGTAAAAGAGTGGTAGTATCTGTCTGTCCTTTGCCTCCCCTCCCTTCTCACTGCTTACAAAGGGGACATCACAACTGGAGCACCATCTTGGACCATGAGAAACAGCTTGGGTTTCTGACCATTCGTTTGGGACCACCTAAATTGGGACTTTTGCACAAGAGAGAAATAAATGTCTATCTTTTCTAAGCCACTAGCTTTCCGGGCTATTGTTACCCACAGCCAGATGAATCCCTTTATTCGGGTTCTATGCTAAGATGAGGATGTAGGGGGAGGCCAGGCAGTGTCCTGGACTGGCATGGGGGCCAGTGTCTAGCCTGGTGACAAGCTAGGGGTCAACAGGGTCTGGGGATACCCAAGAAGGCTTAGAAAAGTTGCTGCAAAACTTGGGGAGTGGTCGTGCTGCGTTTGGCTGGAGGCTTAAGGGATGGATGGGTTTCCTGAGGGAGAGACTAAGAAGGAAGGGCCTGGAGAACGCTGGGAATTCCATTAAGGGGCTGGGGAGGATGGGGAGCCAGAGATACGGCCTGGGGTTTTCAGAGTGGTGGTGGAAGGGGAGGTGGGTGAGGAGAGGAAGTGGAGGTGATGGGTGGGGAAGAAAAGAGAGAAGAAGTTTCCCAGGGAGGCCCTGTCCAGGGAAGGCAATTCTATGACAGGAGACCTGTGAGTGTTGGCTGTTGTGGGTTGAGGACAGGGTCAGGGCCAAAGATGGAGGAGAGAGAGAGAGTCAGGAACCAGGGTCTGTCCTTTTGGAAAAGCCCAGGGGCGCTGGATCTGTCCTAGCAACAGAAGCAGCTTTCTCCTCCCTCCCTCATTCATTTGTTCCACACACATTCTCTCTGCTCCTCCAAGATGGCAATGGGAACACAGAGGCAGCTCAGACCCAGACCCTACCCTCAGAAAGAATCTGGGGGTGAGGGTGGGGGTACAGACAAGGAAGCAGTTCAGCCACTAGACAACATTTATTGAACATTGAACACCTACCATGTGCCAGGCATCATACTGAGCAGTGGGTCCCTGCCCCTCAGGGAGTTCCTAGTCTGATGGAGGAGAACGGCAGTAATGAAATAAACAGAAACCTGTTAGGGGAAGAGAGCTCAGAAGAACATAAAGAGGGGTAGGGGGCGGGGCGCCTGGGTGGCTCAGTTGGCCAGCTGCCTTTGGCTCTGGTAGTGATGTCAGAAGCCCCACCTCCGGCTCTGCAGGGAGCCTGTTTCCTCCCTCCGCCTGCCTCTCCCCCCAGCCTATGAATATGCTCTCCCCGCCTCTCTCTCAAATAAGTAAATAAAATCTTTAGAGAAGAAATCTCGGGGCGCCTGGGTGGCTCAGTGGGTTAAGCCTCTGCCTTCGGCTCAGGTCATGATCCCAGGGTCCTGGGATCGAGCCCCGCATCAGGCTCCAGAGAGCCTGCTTCCCCTTCTCTCTCTACCTGCCTCTCTTCCTACTTGTGATCTTTCTCTCTGTCAAATAAATAAATAAAATCTTTAAAAAAATAAATAAAAAATAAAAAGAGAAGAAATCTCAAAAAAATTATACACAGCAAGATGTCCTTTTGATAAAGACAACTGAAATGAAAATATATACTTTGAAGGAATACACAGATGCAACAAATCTGTACAAAAAGGAAAGCAAAGGCACGATGAACACAGGAAGTAATGGTTATCTTGGGTGGCACCGCAGCAGAATGGGTTAGAGAAACTATGTAATGAGATGTAGGACACTGTCAAAGTCCTAGCTGTTCTGTTTTGTGGTGGGAGCCAATTAAATAAGTGGTGAGAATGAGTCATGAATAAAAGGTTATAAGTAATCCAATTCTGTGCATTTGAGGTCTAATT